TATATATACTTTTGTTCTTTACCATTCTAATAATATTCCGTTAACTCATGGCAGCTGCAAACTTTCTGGATTTATTTACAGTTTTTCTTTAGTTAGAATGAATCTCTTTCCAACCAACTTCAAATTAACRATATCTCCATGAGGTTGGTCGTTTTGTAGAAATTGATTTGACAACCTAATGTAACATTTTTCATGCCTCACAGACGGTGCTTTATTTCCCCAACCCATTGCTGCAATTACTGATACAGAAACATCGTGACTGCATACATGGATCTTCTGATTCATCACACTTGAAGATGTCAGAGTTCCACCTCGAAGTGATGTTAACAACAAAACAGCCACTGTAATTCTCACCCCGGATTTACACCACATGCTTCTCCGCTCCGCTCCGCTGCGCTGCGGTGCGCAGTTCGCAGCTGTTCGTTTGTGTCTCAACTTATACAGTGTCCTCTCCGCTCCAGTCCGACAGAGTGTGGAGGAAGGAGATTGTGCGATAAATTCAGTGATAAGTGTGGAAGTCAGAGCAAAAAATAATTAATTCTGTGAAAGACGAACTCCAAACACAGCTGAAAACATTAATATAAAGGCTTTTGGTATCTATGTTGAAACTGTCTCGCTGTCGTCTTTCTGAAACTTCTGATTTCAAAATAAAATCCACGTGTAACGTGTGTGTGCACATATGCTTCATGCTATGTTTCCATCTGCTTCCCAAACAGAACGATACATTCTGACAGCATTAGTAAAGAAATATATCCATATATTTATCAATATAGCTGGGATTTTGACATTATTCCACCTAATAGTGTCTTATTTTGAAAATATGGATGTTGTGTTCATTCCTCTTCCCTTTGGTGCAACATAATCTTTAAAAATTGACTCTGGCGCAGCTCCGACATCTGGCAGATATAGGATCAGATCTAATTTTGCCAGATCGCCGTCCGCTCACCACCGCCGTGCGGAGCCAGTGTAAACACTCTCAYTGATTAKAATGGGTGCGTATAAACTGCGGAGGTCAGACCGGAGTGCAGCACAGCTGTAATGCATGTATTAGGGTCACTAATTAGGGGTCACTAAGGAAATCAAGACTTGACGGAATGAGACCAAAACAGCAAACTTTATGACTCTAGTTAGCTGTGGGTTTCGTGTTTGTGTGTTTGTGTTTGTATTYGCTAATTTACATAGGACCATTTTTTTTTTTATGATTACAAGCAAAACCTCTTCTTTCAGATCTCTCTAAACTGTTTTGCCAAATCAGACGTTTCACCTCGAGTGCACATAGGTTCACACGTTCTGCTTTGTATTGACAGCTGGTGTCTTGTTCTCAGGTGCGTGCAGGAATACAAGCTGGCGGGAGAYGGGCGGTCCTGCCTCCTGCAGTCTGAAAACTGTGAGGGACCAAAATGCCCCAGGCAGGATGCCCGCTTTAATGACACACTGTTTGGTGAGATGCTGCATGGATACAACAACAAAACACAGCAAGTCAACTTGGGACAGATATTCCAAATGACATTCCGGTAATTGGTGTGCACACACACACACACACACACACACACACACACACACACGCACACACACACGACACTCATACAGTAACACCTTGTCTTTGTTTTTTTGTTGTTGTTTTTTCTATTAGTCTCAGCAGCAAATACATATTTTATAACTTTTTTTTATTCAACTACACATCAGAACAATTACAGTTCTCCCTCAAGCCCTGTTGTTTCACAACTTAAAAGTTGTTGTTTTTTTTCTGCATCTCATAAGACACTATCAGGAGTAAAGTGTGTTATCTGTCTGCGAACCTTGGTGAAGCAGCTTTCAGAAGGGTTTTTAGGGTAAGCTGTTGGTTTGTTCCACAGATATGTGTGCTTGTTGGAGTATTTGGAGGTGATAGACTGCGAGTGATGGCTGAGTGAGGATTCAGACTTATCCCGTGGCAATTCTCTTGAAACTGGCAAGCCTCCTGAAAAATCTGGCTCACTCTGATAAGTCACATGCTGTCTGTGATGAAAAGCTTTATGCAGAGAGATAATGAGGGTCTATCTATGCATGAATACAATGTACAAAGAAAAGCATTCTCAAACTGTATATCTCTCCCTGGTTGTCTGTTTTCTTTTTTTTTATACTAACTCCACACTTTCTGTTTTGTAGCTCTGTTACACAGAGGTCATATAAATCAACTATGTTTTATCTGTTCTGCTGTATGGTCACAGTGTCTGAGTGTGGCCTTAAAATATAAATGTTTACAATAAATAAAAACACGATCTGCCTGCTGCAGAGCTTCAGGCTGACATATATAATTCAGATTTTCTGCTGTCAGTCAGTGACACCGACATCCGGCTGTCTCCTTTTCTATTTTAAATTATCAAAAAATAAATAAATATTTGAAATTATTTATTTGAACAAGTCAGTATTTTGG